TATGGAGCATCTGGCCGCCTTGCGGCGTAGGCGCCAGGCTTCCTTCTGGTCGTCAGGTACCACTCCCTGTGTGAGAAACGAAATGATGGGCGCCATCCATCCTGAATTAGCGCCTTCGTCGGATATGACAGCGACCAGGTGCTCGCAGGGCGCTTCCGAGGTGACAATGACTTTTCGCTCTTCCTCGAAGTCTATTGCCGTAGCTTGCTTGGACAAGGCGTCGGCATGGGCATTTTCTTCACGCGGGACGTGTATGAAGGATATTTCCCCAAACCAAGCCCCCAGCTCTCGCACTCTTCGTACGTATCCTTCTAGGGCCTCTTCCTTAACCTCAAAGACACCATTAAGTTGATTGACCACCAGGGCCGAATCGGACCTGACCTGTATTTTGCGGGCGCCTAATTCCTTGACCATGCTCATGCCAGCAATAACTGCTTCATATTCGGCGGCATTGTTTGTTTTCAGCTTTGCGAATCGCAACGCGACTTCGTGCATTGCACCGCCTGGACTTATCATCACGATTCCCGCTCCTGCGCCCGTACGACTGGCGGCTCCATCCACTTGCACTTGCCAACATTCGTTCGTGTCCCTCTCTGACTCCGCTACTCCTTCCGCAATGAAGTCGGCCAGGACTTGTGCTTTAATCGCCGGTCGGGGCGCATACTTGATGTCAAACTCACTCAACTGGACCGCCCATTTGACGAGGCGCCCAGCCACATCCATCGACCCCAACGTAGATTTCAGTGGCAGGTTGGTGAGTATCACGATGGTGTGCGCCTGAAAGTATGACCTTAGCTTGGTTGCCGCAATCACAACTGCCAGTGCCGCCTTCTCAATGGGTGCGTATCGTCTTTCATGGGCTACCATGGTCCGGCTGACATAGTACACCGGTTTTTCCTCCCCTGAGTGAGCTTCCCTTGAGACAAGCACTGCGCTTACCGATACTCATGACTGTTGGGGCGGCCAGGAGCCGCTTCAATTCATCAAACGCCACATCACATTCCGCCGTCCATTGGAAGCGTGCTCCCTTTTTGAGCGTCCGGAAAAACGGAGCCGCCTTGTCTGCAGACCGGGGGATAAAGCGCCCTAGTGCCGCCAACCTTCCTGCCAAACCTTGTACTTCCTTGGGCGCCTTTGGTGGTGCCAATTGGAGAACGGCGTCCACTTGCTTGGGATTGGCCTCGATGCCCCTCTTGGTGATCATGAACCCCAGGAACTTGCCCGCTTCCGCACCGAACACGCACTTCAATGGGTTGAGGCGGAGATTGTGCGCCCGCATAGCCTGGAACGTTTCCCGCAGGTCCTCCAGATGGTCTCCGCGTTTCCGGCTCTTGACAATCAAGTCATCCACGTAAGCTTCCACGTTTCGGCCAATCTGCTTGCGGAAGACGCTGTTGACCATCCTCTGATAAGTGGCGCCCGCATTTTTGAGGCCGAACGCCATGACCCGATAGCAAAAGTTTCCGAAAGGTGTCATGAAAGCTGTCTTGGGACGGTCTTCCACTGCCATCGGGATCTGGTGGTATCCCGAGAACATGTCCACAAAGCTCAACATCTCATGATATGCCGTAGCGTCCACTAATAGGTCTATGCGAGGCATCAGATAGGCGTCCGTCGGGCATGCTCTGTTCAGATTCGTGTAGTCCACACACATTCTCCAATCCCCTGATGGTTTCGGCACGAAGACCACGTTCGACAGCCAGGTGACGTAGGATGTTTCTTCAACCAAGTTGGCGCTCATGAGCTTATCTACTTCGATTCGGAGTGCCGCCTCCTTTTCCGCCGACAAATTTCTTCGCTTCTGCTGCACAGGGCGCTTTCCCTCTTCCACCGCCAGTCGATGCACGGCCGTTTCCGGGGCCACGCCCGGCATTTCCAAAGCACTCCAGGCGAAAAGCTCTGCGAACTCCCTCAGAAGAGCGATAATGCGCTCCTTCACCTCCTCGGGTGCCTCTGCTGATATTCTCACTTGTCTGTCCGGGCGTTCTACGTCAAGTGCCACCAGAAGTTCCTCGTCGGCAGCTTCGGCCCGGGGCGCCTCTTCCGCCGGGATTTCCAATATATTGACTGTTTCGTTACCCTTCCTTTTCCGCCCAGTCTCCTTTGCATAACGTGGGGCGCCTCTTCCCCTTGCCACACCTACTCCTTGCGGCGCAACGAACTTCAACGTCTGATGGCAAGTGGAGGCCACACCATTAAACAAGGCCAGGAGTGGTCTTCCCAGAATCGCGTTGTATGGTGACGGGCAGTCCACTATTCCAAAATCGATGGCACGCGTCATCCTTTGCTCCCCATCTCCTAAGGTAACCGGCAGGCGTACCCGCCCTATCACTTTGGCGGGCGCCCCTGAAAAACCCACTAGCACTGACTCTGAGGGCCTGATCAACTCTGGCGATAGTTGCATGCGGACCACTGTGTCCTTGAATAACACGTCCATCGAACTCCCTGTGTCCACGAGCATTCTCCTCACCTGGCATCCTGCCACCACGCCTTGTATCTCCAGGGCGTCCATGGATGGGAGCATACATGCTTCCTCGGGCGCCCTATTGAAACTGATGTCAATCGCCTCTTGGACTTCCGCCGACGCCGCCCTCAAGCGACGATTTGCCTCTATCTTCTCCCTCAAGTCCATTGTACCCGAAATTGCCTCTATTGTCAGGCGCACCCGTTCGGGTGCATTTTCTTGATCGAGGTCATATGGCGGTGGTGGTAACTTTTCCGTTGCCGTTTTCTCCACGCCGGCCACGCAGGCCCGGTGCACTCTTTCTTCAGGCTTCTTGACGAAATCATTAAGCATCCCCCTGCCAGCCAAACCTTGCAACTCGGACTTCAATTGGTAGCAGTCGGCCGTGTGATGTCCTATCTCTCGGTGGAAGTCACAAAATCGATCCAGGTTTCGCTCATTGGGCTGCCCTCTCATTGGGCTGCCCTCTCATGGGGCCCGGCCACCTGATATGATACCCTTTCTCCTTGACATGTTGTAGTATGTTCTTCAGCGTGTCTGTATATTCAGCAAAGGGTCCCATGGGCGCCGGGCGCCCAGTGTCCGCCTTCCTGGGAGGGGGGGGGGGTTTATGGGCGCGTACCCTGTTCCGCCTGCAAAGTGCGGCCTCCTCGTCGGCTCCCCCTCCTCTCCCTTTGCCTTTCGTCGATCGGCCCTTCTGGCTGCCAATGTTTCTTCAAGCATGATCACCTTTTGCACCCGGTGATCCAAGTCTTCAGTGCATACCACGTCTCTCTTTGCCAGTGATCTACACAACTCCTCACTGGTGGTGCACTCGTTCAAGCACACTCCCAACACCGAGGGCTGCACGTCCTTTACTGCCAGAGCCACCGACAACCACCTCTCATAAAACTCCCTCAGCGCCTCTCCCTCTCTCTGCTTGATCTTGAACAGGGCGCCTATGGTTAGTGTGCGTCGTTTCCTGCTGGCGAATTTCGCGAGGAACATCTCCGCGAATTGCTCAAAGCACTCAATGCACCCTTCTTCGATTTGATAATACCAATCGAGCACCACGCCAGAGAAGGTTGACGGGAACACCTTGCACAGGGTGGCGTCCGTGCTGTTGTAAAGCTGCATTTTCGTGAAATAGCCGTTGAGGTGGTCTTCCGGATCAGTGACCCCATCATAGGTGGGGAGCGGGGGGATGTTGGTCCCCGCTGGTTCCGCAAGTATGTTGCGCGCCAACGGTTGCCTCACGGGTCCGTGGCGAGACAGACGCCCCAAAATTCCTCCATTCCATCCTCCTGTCTCTGGCCCTTCATACTCGCGCGGGCGCCACAAACTGGGGCGTCTCTGGTACCCCGACTCACTTTCCGTCTCCGCCACCCTCTCTCTTTTCTTCATCGGACTAGGTGTCATTCCTCCGCCTCTCTTTAGGGCATCGACCTCCTTTCGGAGCGCCTCGATTGCCCCATCTTGGTCCTCAATGATTCTGAACAACTCTCTCTTCGTCATCGAGGCGCCTTCCGACCCTCGAAACATACTGCCGCTTTCCTCCCTCTCGTCCATTTCGGGCGCCAACCCCCTCAGTCGTTCTGATCGATCCTCTGTGACTTCTTCCCTCTCCCTCACGTCACTCACTTCCATTTCCTCACTCATGACTTCAGGTTATATTCCCCTATCTGGCGCGCCAATTGTTTGAGCCACGAAACCCCCTCCGCTATCTGGGCGTTTCCCTCCAACGGGCGTCGACCTGCAAACACAAAGAGGAGGGCGCCTCGGCCCGTTAATCCTCCGACGCTCAAGTTAGTCTCTGTGAGAGAGTCGAGTTCTCTATTAATGCTATGAAGTGAGAGAGTCCAACCTGCATAAATGCTATCGGTTGCCCCTATTTATACTCACCGAACCCGAGGTTGATCTCCGCCACGTCACCATTCTCATTTAATGCTCTGTGCCCCCTCTGTGAGACAGCTAACCGCCTTGTCAGGCTCCTGACACATGACAGGCACCTGACACATGACAGGCGCCCGCTGGCAGTGGTCCTCTGGACAGCTGGCCACTATTTGGCTTTTAGTGTTATATTCTTTGGGCCTTCCCCCTTTTTTTTGGGCCCAAGGGCTTCTGGTGGATCCCTTTTCTTTGGCTTTGCCCCCCAATCTCTTAATTCTGGAGGCCCAAGCTATACCCCCAACAGAACCCATGTGAATCTATGGTATAATATGATTAAGTCCTTGCAATTTTTATCATGATGCAGCCACGATTTCACCATTGTTATGGCCTGAACTATGACCATGTAATCAACTTTGGCCAGTGGTTTGAGAAATTAACATCCTGGCCCGAACTATGCAGCATATAGACAAAATTGGCCTGGAGCGTGGTTTGACCGTCTATTTGGACGGTCAACACCATTGACCGTTAGTCAATTGTCCATATCATTGCCATGTCACGCCTTGTCAGCCTATTAATCATTAAGAAATCAGAATTCAAACTTTTGACCTAAACTTATTATTTACAATTTAAACAAAAAATAATAAAAAATAATATTTGAAATTTTCCCTTATCCTCTCTCTCTCCTCACTCGGACCACACAACCCTCATCCCTTTCCCAATCGTTCTTCCCCCGACAGTCACCGGATCCGGTTTGCAATCTTGAGTTCGCCCGGCGAGCACTTCCAAGAGCGTCGTCATCGGTGTACCCACGCCGGTCGACGGTTGGGAGCTGGTCCTCGCAATTCAGATATCTCACCACTTGTCTCATCGTGGGTCTCGACTCCTGCCTTTGGTGCGAGCAAATGAGCCCCAACCCTAGAACCATCTCCATTTCCTCTGCCACATACCGCCGCTCCAGCCGTGCATCAGCCGCGTCCAGAACACTCCCCATTTGCAGGCACTCAGTCACCCAGTCCACCAGTATAAAGTCGCCGTCGCCGTCGCCAATCGGCCTCGCCCACTCGCCGTTTCCAGCAGTAGAACCCCAAACGCGAACACGTCGGACCGGGTCGACGCCTTCCCTGTTCGGGCCGATTCGGGTGCGATGTACCCGACCGTCCCGACGACATTGGTCGTGTGCGACGCCGCCGTTCTGTGGTTGTACAGCCTGGCTAGCCCGAAGTCCCCGAGGCGGCCGTTCATCTCGCCGTCGATCAACACATTGCTGGACTTGACGTCCCTGTGGATCACAACCTGCTCCCATTCCTCGTGCAGGTAAAGCAACCCCGCGACAATCCCTTTCAAAACCCTAAACCTCTGCTCCCAGCTCAAACATCGCTGCCCGCCGCCGCCGTAGAGGAAGAAATCCAGGCTCCCATTCGGAATGTAATCGTAGACGAGAAGGAGATCGCTCCTCTGCTTACACCAACCTTGAAGGTTCACCAAGTTCTTGTGCCGCAATCTCCCCAGACTCTCGATCTCCAGTTCGGTGACCGTCGGGGGAAGAACGATTGGGAAAGGGATGAGGGTTGTGTGGTCCGAGTGAGGAGAGAGAGAGGATAAGGGAAAATTTCAAATATTATTTTTTATTATTTTTGTTTAAATTGTAAATTATAAGTTTAGGTCAAAAGTTTGAATTCTGATTTCTTAATGATTAATAGGCTGACAAGGCGTGACATGGCAATGATATGGACAATTGACTAACGGTCAACGGTGTTGACCGTCCAAATAGACGGTCAAACCACGCTCCAGGCCAATTTTGTCTATATGCTGCATAGTTCGGGCCAGGATGTTAATTTCTCAAACCACTGGCCAAAGTTGATTACATGGTCATAGTTCAGGCCATAACAAGGTATTAACCCTTCATTTTAATAATTAGATATATGATACGGTATAAAATTTCTACCTTATTTGAAATAGAAGATTTATCTAGAGACCTATTCATATTATGAAAATCTGTACTTTATAGGATTAGTTGGCTTTTAAGTTCGCAAAACTATGAATCCTCTTAAATGAAGTACCTCTGTCCTCGATTAATTTGAACATTTTCTGAATTTCAAAACATAACTAACAACAATCTGAACCCTTCAAATGTTAGGAATAATGTTCCATTACTTCTTCTGTCAAAGTCAAACTACAAACCAAGGTTGTCAAACCGGTTTATGCAGTGTACCGGTTTATCAAGTGGAATGGTTCAACATGTGGCATATACCGGTTTGTGCTTGTTCATGCCGGTCAATATTACAATCATTTAATGTCAATGCTTAAACATTTATATTTGAATCCAACAAATAACATCAATATTTAACTTTTATACTCATAAAATAAATAATAAAATTATTTTTATCAATTAAATTCACTAAAACAATATCATTTTACTTAGAAATTCGTATATCGATCATGTCGGTCATACCAGTGGTGTCACATCGGTTTTATGATCAGTTCGGTTGAACGAGGTTCAACCGCTGGCACGCCGGCCGACGTGACAACCATGCTACAAACACATAAAAAAATTGCACTCCAAAATCCAAATTCAGATAGCCTTAGACTGTGACACATATAAATATGTGCTCACTTGTCTTTCTTGTAAACCTTTTGTTCTTCTACTTCAAAATACTAAAACTTATTAGTAACTTGCTGACCAGTCAACAGTTTCACTTTGGTGCTGGAAAGTTTTGCTTTGATTATGATATCAATATTAAGAAGGGAAGATTCCCCTGGCTGGTTGCGCGAAGGAGATCGGAACACCTCCTTTTTTCATGCCTCTACTATTAAAAGAAGGAATGGCAACAAAATTATTCGACTGAAAGACAACGCTGGGGGATGGATAGAGGATGAGGACATTTTGAGGGAGCATTGTAGGAGCTATTTCGTGGACCTGTTCAAGAAAAGGGATCCTACAGACATGGGGGACCTAATGGCTGATTTCCCTGCTATTGTTACCTCAGAAATGAACTCTCACCTCTGCTGCCCCTTTGACAATGAGGAGATAAGAAAAGCTGTTTTCCAATTGGGTCACTCTAAAGCTCCCGGTCCGGATGGTTTCCCGGGTTTTTTCTTCAGAAAACAGTGGAATCTGCTTGGGAATGGGCTATGTGATGAAATCAGGATGTTCTTTAGTACGGGGAGAATGACGGAGGGATGGAACGATACTTTTATTACCCTGGTTCCAAAAGTCGATAATCCTGAATTTGTCTCTCAGTTCAGACCAATTTCCTGCTGTAACTTCAGGTATAAGATCATTACGAAGATCATGGCCACGAGACTACAGAGATGGTTGCCATCTTTGATCTCTGAGCTTCAATCAGCCTTCACAGGGGGACGCCAAATTCAAGACAACATTGTGATTGTTCATGAGGTGCTTAATCATTTCAAAAAACACAAGCAGGGTAATAAGAAGGATATGATGTTGAAACTGGATATGCGGAAGGCCTACGATTTGGTTGACTGGGACTGTCTCGGCTCTCTTTTGGGAAGCTATGGTTTCAGCCCGCTCTGGTGTGGTTGGGTTATGGAATGTGTCAGTACAGTGAAGTTCTCTGTGTTATTTAATGGGGAGCCTTCCATGGATTTCAAACCGACAAGAGGAATCCGACAAGGAGACCCTCTGTCTCCCCTTCTCTTTATCCTGATGTCAAATGCATTAACGTTCCTCATCGACAAAGCTGCTGCTACTAATCGTATCCAAGGATTAAAGCTCAATCGGAACTGCCCTATGCTAACCCATTGTCTTTTTGCAGATGACACGGTTATCTTCAGTAAGGCCTCCACGGAAGAGGGAACTAACATCCTGCAGATTATTAACAACTATGGTGTGATCTCAGGGCAGGAAGTGAATACCCAGAAATCCTCTGTTTTCTTCAGTGCCAATACTACAGACGAGGAGAAAGAGAGTATTCGAGTAGTCATGGGTTTCCCGGACTCTAATATTCACTCGAGCTATCTGGGTGTCCCAACGGAATGGGGTAACTCGAAAAAAGAGACATTCTCATTCCTGGTTGACAGAATGGAGAATAAAGGAGACAATTGGCAAAGCCTCTTACTCTCACCTGGGGGAAAGGAAACACTTATCAAGTCAGTTCTCCAAGCGATCCCGACCTACATTATGTTTCTTTTCCTCCTTCCGGCTACTGTCACCAACAGGATGGATGCATTGGTTAGGAGATTCTTTTGGTCAGGATCAATGCAAAGGAGAGCAATTCATTGGTGCAAAGGAGAGGTCCTACTAAAGAGGAAGGAAGAAGGAGGTCTTGGGTTCAAATCTTTCAAAGATTTTAATATCGCCCTCCTCATGAAACAATGTTGGCGGTTGCTCATCAACCCGGATTCGCTTTGGGCAAGGCTACTCAAGGCACTCTACTTCCCCCGAACTGACTTCCTTCGTGCTCGGAAGGGAGCTAAAGCGTCATGGATTTGGGCAAGTCTCTGGCAGGCTAAGGGATTTCTTGAATGGGACATTCTAAGGGTGATTGGGAATGGAGAATCCACAAATGTTTTTCATGATCCATGGGTCCAGCACCTACCGGGACAGAGGTTGGTACGAGTTAACCCACCTAATGTCAAGGTTGCAGAATGGATTGATCATTTCCACAGGGTCTGGGACGCTCAAAGACTTGCTGGCTGGACGACAGCACAGGAAAATGAAGCCATTGAAAAGATCCCGATTGGTCATGCGGAAGCACAAGATTTCTGGGCCTGGAAACCTACACCCAATGGTTTGTTCACAGTAAAATCAGCCTACCGGTCGATACACAGGAGAAACAGGAGTGGGAATGCCATCTTAGCGGAGACTTCGGACGAGGAAAGAGAGAAATGGAGGTGGCTTTGGGGCATCAATCTTCCTCCTAAACTTAAGTTCTTCTTGTGGAGATGTGCAAAGAACATTTTGGCCACGAAAGTGAAGCTCCACACCCGCAGCTGTGCGCCTTCTCCCGCCTGCCCTGTTTGCAACCAAGAACCGGAAAACCTCCACCACTGTCTCTTTGGATGTAGTTTGGCTCAGGAAGCGTGGAACACAAGCTTCCCCTCTATTGCTTCTCCTCCGCCGCTTACTAACACCCTCGACTGGTTGTTTGAGCTGAATCGTTCCCTCCCAGAAAAGACCTTACAACACATCATCTATCTATTATGGGCAATCTGGAAGGCCAGAAACGAGAAGGTTTTCAACAGTATCACCCCTTGGCCCCCACTGGTAGTGGCGAATTCACATAGAGATTTGGCCCAATGGTGTTCTATTCCGCGAAGCACTCCTCAGCAGCGGACGTCCCGTAACCAGCTTAGGGAGACTCTGAATATAGCTGGCCCACCGCCAAGTAGTTTCGATTTCGAAATTCACTGTGATGGTTCATTTAAACATGAATCCCAGGAGGCGGCATATGGTTTTGTGATTATCGATAACCATGGACAGGTATGTGATGGGGAAGCTGGTTTTGTGCAATGCTCTTCACCTATTGAAGCGGAAGCAAAGGCTCTTCAGGAAGCTGTTTGTGCAGCTCAGAGATTGAATCGTCCTGTGAAGGTTAAATCTGACTGCTCGGTGCTGGTTTCTGCGTTAACACAACATCGTGATGCTTGGCCGTGGAACTGCTACGCAAGGATTGGATTGATTGGGAAAATCTTGGAATCTTGTCCCCAAATCCGTGTTTGTTTCCAGCCGCGAAAACGCAACTTCCTAGCAGATTGGGTTGCAAGATCTGTTATTGATGGGAGTCTCCCACTTGATTGGATCACTGTTGTTAACCTTCTTTTTCCATTTCTTGCCTGAGGCTACTGTAACCGCTACTCTTTTACAATGAAATGCACACATATTTGCCTTGTCAAAAAAAACTCCAAGCTCGCAATATCGAATTGCCTTTATCCTTTGTCCAATTCTTCTTTCCTCTTTTCCACACACTGCATCAGTTCAGCAGCAGCAGACAGCCATTCAAACAAACACGATTTTTGCAATCTGTCTCTCTCTGGGTTCTATGGATAGGAAAATAAATCCTTTCTCAAAAGCAAAAGCTGCAACTTCCCTTTCTCTCCATCCTCACTCATCACTCCCTTTTGCCCACAACCCGACCATAAATTTGAACCAAAAATTACTTTTTAGTATAGTAGGAGGATGATTTCAAATGTAAATTGTTAAGGAATGAATGAATAAGGCTCGACTTCATTAAAAAAGAAACTCAAGGAGTTGGAATATATTGGTCTTAAAGAAAAATAAGCATCTATCCAATCTGATCTCATTATTGGTCGTGATAATATTACATTTGATATAGTTATGATAAAAGTATAAATTTGGCCAGCATCCGGATTGTAATAATACTCACTCGGCACTTACCTGTAAATACAAACGATGATAATATTTTCCCCCTCCCTCCTAACTTTTGTTGCTCGAGATCTCTTTCATGTTTGGCTCTCACTTGGTATGAACCTTACCGATCTGTATTGTTTTCTTGACTGCGAACTTGTTCGTGTTCATGAGCTTCACATTGATGCATCTCTATAGTTGCTCAACTTGC